TTGGGTTTTCCTTAAGGAAATGTTAAAAGGGCTTGGTCTTCCGGTCAAGATGATAAATTGGATCATGACTTGTATATCTTCCCCCAAATACTCAATTTCTCTTAATGGCTCACTACATAGATACTTCAAGGAAGAAAGAGGTTTAAGGCAAGGTGATCCTCTATCACCTTATTTGTTCATTTTAGGGATGAAATACTTATCTAGAAATTTGGCAAAGCTTAAAGATGACAGATCTTTTAAATTCCATCCTAGGTGTGGTGAGCTTAAGATCACACACCTAATAGTTGATGATAATCTTCTACTCTTTTCAAAAGGAGACATACATTCAGTGAGTAAGATCTTTAATTGTTTCAGAGAATTCAGTAATGTTTCAGGCTTGGAAGCAAATTTAGAGAAATGCACAATCTTCTATGGAGGAGTTGATGAAAATTTTAAAAGCACTGTTAAAAACGTAATGAGTTTTCCTGAGGGTGCATTGCCTATAAAATATCTAGGAGTCCCTATGATATGCAATGGATTATCTTTCATGGATTGCTCTCCTCTCCTTAATAAAATCTCTGGTCAATTTTAGACCTGTATGAAAAACAGGGGGCTATCTTATGCAGGTAGACTGCAATTTATCAAGAGTGTAATCCTTGGTATTCAAATCTATTGGTCATCTAATTATCTCTTACCAGTGAGAGTCCTCAAGAAGATTGATGAGATGTGCAGGAAATTCTTGTGGGGCTATTCTGAACAGTCTACAAAAATCCCTCTCATATCATGGGCAAAAGTTTGTTTGAGCAGGAAAAATGATGGACTGGGCATATATTCAACAATTATCTAGAATTTTGCTTCCATCTTGAGAATGCTTTGGCATATACAAGTTAATAAGGAGAGCTTGTGGATAAAGTGGATCCATAGTACATACTTAAAGCAAAATGACATTTGGTTATGTTCTCTGCAATATTTGAGTTTTTGTGAGCTCTTTGATGTAGAGCTTTCTTGTATTCTCAGTTGCTGAGCATATTGTCGCGCTGAATTTTAAAAAAAATGAAAATGAATAAAAATTTTCATTTACAAAAAAAAAAAATCACTTTTCCATTGATCCAAAAAAAGTTATAATAATAATAAAATGAAAAAAGGAGTAGATCACATTCCTCTGAGAATACTTCATTCTTTTGTAAGCTATCTAATAAAGCTTGCTTTTGCATTTAGCAGTGTAGTTTTATTGCATTCTCTAGCTGTCTAATTTATTGATCTTTAACGAGCTTGTTCATTGCTATATATGTATTCAGCTGATTTGATTAATTGATGTTTACCAATTAATTAGTTCTGTTGAATACCATATGCAATTTGGTGTTTATCTTGTTGAAGTTTTTCTCCTCATTCTGTATATCTCTCACTCTACAACGAAAGTTGTATGTTACGACAAATATGTTACGACAAATATAGAAGTGTCATTTTAATGTTGCATTAAGTGAACAATTGGTTATGCAGAACATGCAATAACATTGACTTGTTTAGTGGATCCCATAAATAAGAGGAAGTTTTATATTATTTATTTAAAGAATATCATTTATGAGGTCCATGGAACCGAGGCATTCATAATTAATGAATGATAGGTTGTAGTAGATAATTCTCTACCCAAGTCCCTTGAGGACCCAATTATGAACAAACAACTGGCTAAAGGAGCAAGCACCCAGCTCAGAAGAGCCAAGGTAAGGCGGCAATAAACTCCAATTGTGCCTTGGTCATCTCCATTCAGCTCGATCATGAGCATGCATGTCTTCTTAGTACTGTTGGCTTTGTAATAGGATCGGCCAGAAATACAAGACCTGAAAGCTTTGTAAAACCTGTAAACAATGTATGCAAAACTGTAGAACCTGGGAGAATTATTTTGAGCAGAACGGACAGCAGCAAAACAAAGAGATGGGCTGATTTTGGAGGACGTGTGTACTGCAGCAAGCCTTTCAACAACCCTCTGTTTTGTTGATACACACAAGGCTCTGTGAACAGAGATGGCCGGACTTTGAGAAAGAGGACAGAGGAGCAGGGAACCCTTTTTTTGATTCTTATTCACGTTCTACTAAACTCATCAATTGTTTACATATATATAGGATTAAGATTACAACTCTAATCTTATCCAATAACTAGAAAACTATCTACTAACTAGTATTCTACTCTAATTAGAATTCTACTAACTAACAAACCGGACTGATTACAACTCACATTCTCCCCCTTAATCTGGACGAGATTCCAAGTCCCTTACTCCTAGAAGCTCCCGCATCTCGATGAACTTCACCCTTGCTAGTGCCTTCGTGAGAATATCCGCTCGCTGCTCGCTCGTGCTCACGAACTCCACTTTAATCTGTCCTCGCTCAACACACTCACGAATGAAGTGAAAACGTGTGTCGATATGCTTGCTTCTTCCATGGAAAACTGGATTCTTTATCAAGGCAATCGCGGACTTGTTGTCGACGAAGAGTGTGACCGGCTTGGGCTCACTCCCAATCACCTCGCTGATTAAACTCCTCATCCACAAGCCTTGGCATGCTGCTGCAGTTGCCGCCATAAATTCTGCCTCGCAGGATGATAATGCCACCGTCTTCTGCTTCTGTGATGTCCAAGTGACCAAACTGTCACCTAGATAAAATGCCATGCCGCCTGTGCTGCGCCTGTCATCAACATCTCCCGCAAGATCACTGTCAGTGAATCCCACCAACTCTTCATTGCCTCGACCTCGTTTGTACACCAATCCGTAGGACATAGTACCCTTCACGTACCTCAAAATATGCTTGACAACCTGTCGATGCAAAACTGTAGGGTGCTCCATGTACCTACTCACAATCCCCACGGCATATGTGATATCGGGTCGGGTGTGAGTTAGATACCTTAAGCATCCGATAATGCGTCTATACTCCGTCACGTCCACCGGTGTTCCTTCGGAATCCTTTCCAAGCTTTAGCTTTGTTTCCATAGGATATTGCGTCGGGTTGCAATCCATCATGCCGAACTGACCCAAAACCTTCTTCGCATAGGCCGCCTGCCTTAGTGCAATACAATCATCTCGCTGATCCACCTCGATGCCAAGATAATAAGAAAGTAAACCAAGGTCACTCATCTCGAACTCCTTCATCATTTGTTGCTTAAAAAACTTTAGCTCATCCGCCCTCGAGCCCGTAACGATCAAATCATCTACGTACACGCCAACAATGAGTGTATCTCCTCTGTTACTCCTTGTGTATACCGCCTGCTCCTGAGTGCATCTTGCAAATCCGATGCCCTTCATGCACTTGTCGAGGCGCGTGTTCCATGCCCGAGGTGCTTGGCGTAGACCGTAGAGTGCCTTTGAGAGCTTGTAAACCTTGTGCTCTTGATTCTTCACAGCGAACCCTTCAGGTTGAACCACATAAACTTCTTCCTGGAGATCACCATTTAGAAATGCCGACTTCACATCCAGATGGTGCACCTCCCACCCATTCTGTGCTGATATGGCGAGGATTATTCTGATGGTATCAAGCCTCGCCACAGGTGCAAACACCTCATCGAAGTCCACGCCTTGCTGCTGGACGTACCCTTTTGCTACAAGTCTTGCTTTGTGCTTGAGAATGTTGCCTTCATTGTCCTTCTTCAGCTTGTACACCCATTTGAGACCAATGGGTTTAGAACCTCGCGGTAGCTCCGTGAGTATCCAAGTCTTGTTCTTCTCGATGGCCTCCATTTCCTTCTCCATAGCAGTCCGCCATTCTTGATCTGTTGCGGCCTCAAGATAGTTCGCTGGTTCTTCATTGATGAGAAACAACTCCTCTGCCGGGAGATCAATCACCTCCGTCTCCGCATAGATGTCCGCAATGGATCGATAGCGTACAGGAGTCATTACTGCAGCTTCAGGAGGTCCGGACAGCTCCAATGCAGTGGGGTTTTCTGCGACTACTGCAGTTCCTGAACCTGTGCCGGTTTGTGGACTGTTTCGGCCAGCTACAGGTTGTTTTGATCGGTCTGTAGACTGCCCAGATTGACCTCTCGTCGGCTCCAATACGGCGGGGAATGCTGCTTCATTGACTGATCTTGGACCAGCAACCAGCTGAGGGCTGGTTCGGATAGCAGCAGTCCGTCCAAATTGGACTGCAGTCTGTCCAGTTTGGACTGCAGGGCTGGTCTGGCCGGCTGCTGGCAGCTTGTTTCGGCCATCAGGTTGTCCAGGGACTGCTGCAGCGGTTCGGTCTGCTTGCTGTCCAATTTGGACTGCTGGAAATGCGCCGGCTGTTGTGCCGGTTGCTGCAGTCTCCCCTTCCGCTGTGAACACCACCCAGTTGGGTGATCTTTCGACTCCATCGGCGCTTCATTGCCATTCTTTTCCTTCCTCGAACACGACATCCCTGCTGACCTGAATTCTGCCGTGATGAGGGTCGTAGAGGCGATGCGCTTTGCTTCCTTCTTCTACTCCAATGTACACCATTGGCGTGCTCCGGTCGTCGAGTTTCTTGTGTAAAGGACCTGCAATTTTCACATGCGCCACACATCCGAAAACTCTCAAGTGTTCTAGGTGGGGTTTCTTACCAAACCAAGCTTCGTAGGGTGTGTGGTCGTGCAACGCCTTGGTTGGTAGTCGGTTGAGGATGTACACCGTGTGCCTAACCGCTTCGCCCCACATAGTTCCAGGCATATGCATGCTCTTAAGTAGGCTTCTCGCCATGTCCATCACCGTGCGGTTACACCTCTCTACTACACCGTTTTGTTGCGGGGTGTACGGTGCAGTGAGATGACGCTTGATGCCGTAGTCTTCACAAAACTTGGTGAACCCCTTTGACAAGAACTCGCCACCACGATCCGTCCTCAATATCTTCACCTTGTGGTCACATGCGTTTTCAACCACTGTTTTGAACTTCTTGAAGGTTTCACAAGCTTAACTCTTGGCCTTCAACATGTATACCCACATCCATCGGCTGAAATCATCAACGATAAGAAGGAAGTAGTTGTTCCCAGCAAGTGTAGATGGGGTGATAGGACCACATAGATCAGCATGTAGTAACTCCAGCGGCTTCTGAGCTCTGAAATTTGCTTGCGAAGGGAACGGCAGTCTTGCTTGCTTGGCGACGAGGCATCCTTCGCATGTTCGGGTGCAAGATCTTCGGCAACCCGGAAGCCATCCTCTTTTCAGTCATCATCTTGAGGGCGAAGAAATTGACATGCCCAAGGCGAGCATGCCATAACCAAGCTGGATCGTTAATGTTCGCCATCAAACACGCCGGCTTGCAAGTCTTTAACTCTATCCTGTACAATCGGTTAGTTGAACGTGTCACCCTCATCAAGAGAGCACCGTTCCTATCAAACACCCTCAGGAACTCGTCAGCAATAACAACCTTACTCCCATCTTCAGTCATTTGACCAAGGCTAATAATGTTAGATTTCAAACTTGGAATATAATATACCTCAGGTAGTAGCCTTTGATCGCCGTTGTTGCACTGAAAGAGGATTGAGCCTTTCCCCTTGATCTCTACCGCGGATCCATCACCAAACTTGACGGTTCCCTTGATATTTTCGTCGAGCTCCTTGAACTTGTCTCGGTGGCCGGTCATGTGATTGCTAGCTCCGTTGTCAAGGTACCAAGTATTGTTGTCAACATGTGCCTCCCCCGCTGTAAGTAAATCCGACATCACCTTCTCTTCATTCAGCAAAATGACACTTGACGATTCCTCTAACATAGCCATCATCAAGGTTGGCTCCTTGTCATATGCACGGGTGAGATGAGCCTCCTGTTCATTATTGCGGCGTTGCTTGTGACACTCCGACTGAAAGTGCCCGTATACTCCGCAATTGAAGCATTTAATGTTGGACTTGTCTCGACCACCACTTGTGCTACTCTCCCCCTCCTGGCGAGCTGCACCACCATGGCCGAAACCACCTCCTGGACGTCCTCCTCTGCCGCCGAAGCCGCCTCGGCCTGCCTGGCCGCCGTGCTCCCCTCCGCGGCCTGCTTGGGCAGCGTGGTGCTGCTGCCCGCTGCCGTGGTACTGCTGTCCGCCTCGGCCTCTTTGGCCACGGCCACGCCCACGACCGGCCCCGCGACCTCGTCCTCGACCGCTGCCATCATTGGTTGTAGGTGTTGAGAGGAAGCCTCCGCCGTTCTTCTTGCTCCTTGCTTGCCACTCCGCATGCGTCAACAATAGGTGATCGTCGACGTTGTTTCGAAAAACACGTGCCCTCTCCTCGTGGGCTTTGAGGCGCCCGATCGCCTCCTCGAGTGTCATGTCGTCGATGTCCCCGAACTGTTCAATCGTGGAGACGATAGTAAGGAATCTCTCCGGTACCGCCCGAAGTAGCTTTCTGACGACGTAGTTCTCCTCCATCTCGCCGCCTAAAGCCCGGATCTTGTTGACGACTCCTGTCAACTTCGTCGAAAAATCGTCGACGTTGTCATTCTCCTTCATCCGGAGAAGTTCGAACTCGGACTTCAAGGTCTGCACCTTCGCGTTCCTCACACGATCCGCTCCTAGATGCATTGTTTTCAACGTCTCCCATGCCTCTTTTGCCGTCTGCTTCTCTGCGATCACCATCAAAGTCTCTTCAGGAATCCCCTGGTAGATGGCCGCCAACGCCATCTGATCCTTCCTGTGTTCCACGGACGCGCCTGCCACGGGCTCAATGGCGTCCCATACGTCTTGAGCCTTCATGTAGACTTTCATCTTGATTGCCCACGAAGCATAGTTATCCCTCGATAGCATCGGGTATTGAAGAGAGAGGGAACCCACCTTGGTCGTCATCTTCTCCAAATTCGTCATCTCTTCAGATCGTGGTTGATACTTAGGCATACACCGGCTCTGATACCACTTGTTGGCTTTGTAATAGGATCGGCCAGAAATACAAGACCTGAAAGCTTTGTAAAACCTGTAAACAATGTATGCAAAACTGTAGAACCTGGGAGAATTATTTTGAGCAGAACGGACAGCAGCAAAACAAAGAGATGGGCTGATTTTGGAGGACGTGTGTACTGCAGCAAGCCTTTCAACAACCCTCTGTTTTGTTGATACACACAAGGCTCTGTGAACAGAGATGGCCGGACTTTGAGAAAGAGGACAGAGGAGCAGGGAACCCTTTTTTTTATTCTTATTCACGTTCTACTAAACTCATCAATTGTTTACATATATATAGGATTAAGATTACAACTCTAATCTTATCCAATAACTAGAAAACTATCTACTAACTAGTATTCTACTCTAATTAGAATTCTACTAACTAACAAACCGGACTGATTACAACTCACAAGTACGTTTAGGGTTCGATGAGATTCTCCAGACCATATTATATTGTAGCGTGTCTATGCGGAAGCGTTGCACGCACACACAACGAACTTGAGATCACGGAAGAAGAAAGCCACACACTTGCACAAACCAAGCCAATTACGACAAATCAAACCAAACACAGAGATATACGTGGTTCGGCAATTGCCTACTTCCACGGGGAGAGGATGGAGAGATTTCACTATATGGAGGAAAAATACAACGGGTTACAACTCACAAAATCACTCAAATATAACCCTAACCAAAGCTCTCAACTCCCTCACAATATCTCCCTCTCAAAGTGCTCAAAACAATGCTAATTCTCTCATTTTCTCTCCTTAAGAAACCCTAAAAAACGTGATTCTATTTATAATAAAACACAATCCCAAACAAAGGAGGATTCTCATACAAAGGAGGATTCTCATACAAAGGAGGATTCTAAAAACGAATCTGCCACACCCTGTACCATGGATGTGACAGAGGGTGTGGTGCAGGATAGATTCTGCCACACCCTGCACTGTGGGTGTGGCAGAGGGTGTGGTGCAGGACAGATTCTACCACACCCATGACAAACACCACACCAGGGTGTGGTGGAGTCTGTTTTGGGTTATTCTTCACGTTTTTCACAATTCCTTCGCCGTTTTCACAATTCTCCACCTCGGCGAAGTGTTCCCAACACTGAGCCGACACCAACATGAGCACCAATGTGTCGTCTCTCCAAACTCGGCTACACCAATGTGGTTGCCTACGTACCCCCTCTCCCAAGGGATCAAGCCGCCCGTAGTTCATCCAAATGGCCGCCAACGGCCTCAACAATTACGAATGTGCAACAAGTTTCGACAATGATCAAACTTGTTGCTCGGAACCACCTTAGTGAGCATATCTACATTGGAACAATGATACAAATTTAATACACGTCCTTTAATACTCTCTCTTACATTAATAGTGCTACATTCTTTAATACTCTCTCTCTCTAACTCACTTCCCGATCTCTGTAAATCTCACATGAAGAACACAACAACGCAATGAATCTGGATTCACTGAAGTGATCTTCAATCCAGATTCACTCCAACGAATTGAATCTGGATTCACTCCAATCGATTTGCTGCTCCACTGGATTTGTGAATCATTCTAACCATCCAAGCAGAATAAGAAACTTATGGTAAAAAACAAGCTATAAAATTTTATAACATGAAAAATTTTCACCTTTTACAGCAAAAAGTTATGATTTTTATGGTAAAAAACAAACACCTCACATAATTGAATCTGGATTCACTGCAGTGAATCGAGATTCACTGAAGTGAATCTAGATTCACTCATGCGTTTATTGAAGTAAAAACAAGCTGGATTCACTGAAGTGAATCGAGATTCACTCATGCATTTATAGAACGTGTTTGATGATTTTAAGCAAAAAGTTACAATTTTTATGGTAAAAACAAACACCTCACATAACTGAATCTGGATTCACTGCAGTGAATTCAATTATTTAGGACAGCAAAAATCGGCGATTCACTGCAGTGAATCTCGATTCACTACAGTGAATCTCGATTCACTGCAGTGAATCTCGATTCATTGCAGTGAATTCAATTATTTAGGACAGCAACTAAAACAAACCCCACAACTAAAATTCTGAACTTTAACCAATTTTAACAAAAAAACTAACAGGATTGCAATTTCTAAAATATTTTAATAGAAACCCTAAAAAAGATTGCAAATTTTGAAAGATAATCCAACAAAACAAACAACCAAGATCGAGTATAAGAGAAACCCCAAGCTAAAACAAATCCTAGAACCAAGATCGCAACTTCAACAATTACCCTAAAAAGAAACCAAAATCAAATTGAAATTAAAGAAAAACGTGACGAACCGAGGGGGTGCTCGAGCTTGAAGGAACTCTTGGCCATGGATCCCCTCTTTCTATCATCCCCAATACATGACGAGAACAAAACCATGATCAGATCAAAAGAAAATAACACCTACCAAGAATCAAATCAAACTTAGAATATAACCTACCAAGAAAATATAACACCTACCAAGAAAATAACACCTACCAAGAGAGAGGGGGCTGGTTCAAGCTTTTGGGAAATGGAGGAGAGAGAGAGAGGAGAACGTGAGAGGAGAGTTGCATGGGAAAATGGAGAACTCAATAAGAAGCATTAATTACCTCTCTTTAGTGGGCTGTTTATTTTACCTAATTACCCTTATGCAGCTTTAATCTCAGCCATTGGATGAATCTAGATCCAATGGAGAGGATTGGTTTTTAGTTTTTAGGATAGTGAGGTTTGTATTTGAACCTCTCCCTATATATATAAGAGTATAAATATGTACATATATAAGTATAGACCACCGGGATGCTGACACGGCCTAGATTGATCACAAATTAAGCTTGCTACTGTAGTTTCCAATAAAATTTTGCTTTGAACTAGTAGACTTTAACTAGGATTTGAAACCCCAGGGTATTTTGATACCATGCATGTCAAAAGGTCGATCCTTTTCTTTTTCATCGTGTATTTCAGGTTTATAATGATCTTGCATAAAAATTCAGCATGCAGTACCGTACGTGTTAAGGAAATATTTAATTGCGGGCTGTGATTTTTTTCTCTCTTTTGTATTTTTGTTGTTGTTGTTGTTAATTAGTTAGTTACTTCTAGAACTCTGCATGGAATTGATTAAATATTCAGAGCCTCTAGCTAGTAACATCAGAGTGCTGTTCTCTTTTTCACTGAAGGCTTTGTTCAAAGCTGGCGCTGGTATTACGGATGTAACACATTTCCATTCTTTTTCGGGCGCACAGCCTCCCAAGATGGTTTTTGCCAATAAAGGCCAGACACCCATATCTTTATACTAGCCTCTTCCGAGCTTAATATATTGGCGTTCCCTGGCCTACCCCCCAGCATTTATATTAATTTATTATTTAAAGCCTAGCGCTCAGAAGAAGCAAACTAAAATCTATACCCATCAATGCCTCATACATATATACTCTCCTTTTTGTTCTTCAGTCAATTAGTAGCTCATACCACGACTGTCACGATGTTGTCTGTCGTTCTAAAATTATTATACGTTTCAAAATTCCACTTCTATTTTTACACAGCATTTTTTTTACATTTAATATGTTAATATTGACACCATGATCCAATTGCTATGATACGACTTGCAAAATGAAAACCTTTTTTTTTCGGTCAATGAATTAAACTTTTATTCATCTCCCAAATGTGAAATATAAGTACATCAAATCAGCCAGGACTTAGTCTGGGATACAACGATACAACTATCAAAGAGAATTACAATTGTTCAATTTTTACTCTTATGCAGGAAGGAACATTATCGTTCGAAACTTTTTGAGAAGATGATAGTCTTTATGCCCCAGAATAATACCTCAGGGATTTTGGCTTTATGCTGGAAGATACGCAAATTTCTTTCTTGCCATAATGTGTACACTGTCACAGACAAAGCCAACATTTTCAATTTCTTCATAAAACCAACCCCTTTAAGCCTTAAACTATACCGGTCAATAATATGCTCCCAATTGCACGATCTCCAGTTATAATTCAACCAATTCATTACATTATTCCACACCATTGCAGAATATTGACATTCAAAGAGAAGATGGCGACGTGCTTCTTCCTGTTGATTAGAACACAAGACACAAAGGATTGTGTCAAGTATTCTCATACGGCATAACCTATCTTGAGTTAACAGTCTTGAGTGAATAGCCAACCATAAGATAAAAGAATGTTTGGGATAATGCCAACCACCCCAGACTGTATCCGACCAAGACACCTGAGGAGATTGAGGAATTGGTTCTTTGTAGATAGAAATTTTTTGAACTTTATCCCCAAAGCAAAATGAATTTCTTACTTTAGTTTATCTTTATTTAGAAACAAAAAATATGTGTCATCCGTCAATCTTTTCCATGTATAACTAAATAAAAAAAATTCTATTTCGGTTCTTGCCTCACAACTTATACATTTCTGTTAGATTCTAGTATTACTGATTCACTATTTTATTCTTTACAAAATCTTTAAGTATGAGCTTTTTTTTTTAGTTATTTACACTGATTCTTAAAACAAAAGAAACTGCCCGGTTAAAAAGGATTGAACAAAATGATCAGATCTCCCTCAAATTATAGGTGAACTCTCAAGTTTCTACTTACAGAGTATCAATCTGCTTATGTTTTTCTCTTAAATTACGTGCATGTGCTCAATGTGATCATTTTGTAGTAGAGCCCTACAGACTAGTTGAAAGTATTTTGTTTTGATATCTCAATTTGAGATTCTTGATGTACATATATTCTTCATTTTGGTGATGAATAAAAAATTTTCATTTACCAAAAAAATATGATCATTTTGTGAGCGTACAATAAAACAAGGTAATTTTTTTTTTTTATGAAAAAAGGCAACTCATCTTATGAAAGCTATGTTTACAGTTGAAGTATCTTTATCTTGATGAAGACAAAAAGTTATACGAAGTACACTAGTATAAAGGGGTGCAATAAATGGGTTTTGCTGTAAAAAAAACTAGCTATAGTTGACCATTTACAGTGGCCAGATTTTTGTGTAGACTTTTTGAAAGAGAGAGAGAGAGAGCGCTAGGAGAGCTGCCGTTGTCGGTGCTTTATGCATTTACCAAACACAATGAGGCTCTCAGGACTGAAAAAGCTGTGGAAATGGAAGGCCTCTCTTTCTCTATCACTCTGTGATCTGTATTGGGTTTTGCAGCGTACGAAAGTATATTGAGGATCTCGAGAGCACGTAAAAGTTGTCTCGTGCACAATGTTTTTCTTTTTTGAGGGATCCAAACTTTACTGATATGACGCTTAGTTTTGCTAATCATACTATTTCATTTTTCTTCTTCTGAATATCTAATTTCAGGCTAATTACTTTTTAGTTTCTACTTATTAAAATTAATATAAAACTATAATTCTTGATCATCACTATAACTTCGGAATTTTGGTGTAATGATTAGAGGAGCTAAATTTAAGATGGTATCAGAGCAACACAGGTTTAAATCCCACTTACCATAAAATTTAAGCGGTTTTTCTAAAAATTGACACCGCTACGTGAGTCCAGGTTTTAGCCTATAAAAAATGGCGTTCAACCTGTGGGACATGTTAAAATTAATATAAAATTATAATTCTCGACATTCACCATAACTTCGGAGTTTTGGTGAAATGGTTAGAGAAGCTAAATTTAAGACTACTATTTTGAACTTAGATATCCTAGGGTTTTTTAAATTGACATTTCATCATTTTTTGTTATGCAAATGTAAGACCTATAATATTCTAGTATAACATTTACATGCTAAATTCTTAATCCTTAATGTTATTGATTTATTATTAAATCTATCTAAAATAATTTTATTTTTAACCTAGCGCAATTATATTAATTTAAAACAAAAATTGGAATATGTTTAACAACAAGTTCAAAGAAAATTAAAATTAAAAAAATTCTAAGTTTCACATGGAAATTGTGTAATTTTTGTTTTTTTTAACTCAGGTCGTATTACTGAATCAGGTGAATTGGATCATTAGTCACTATACTTATCACATAGTTGCACGTTCATCACTATATTTTAATTGCTTGGATAGCTAGTCATGTAATTAAATACTAATCAGATCATTAGTGACTTTTAATATTTTTCATTAATTGACATGATGGATTTTGGTGATCTACTTAAAAAAAATTTGATCATTTGACATAAATTATTCATATGTTTAATATATGTAGGCGTCTAAAAATACCTATAGGTATCCACACACAGCTCGAGACAAAGAGAAGGCGATGAACACCATTATCCAAGTCGAAGGGGATTGTCCGAGTCAAAAAGGATCATCTGATGCCGATAAGCGCATGAAACGAATCGTCGAAACGTTGATGACGTGGCGACGAACCACCAGAACGACCAATGCCAGATGGCCCGCGTGCTCACCGGCCACCACTAAGTGGCTCGCATGCTAATCAGCCACCAAAATAGCAAACCAAGTGGCCTGCGTGTTCACCGACCACCTCTAAGTGGCCCACACGCTCATCTGTCACCTCCAAGTGGCCAGCGCGCTCATCAGCTAGCCCCAAGTGGCCCGTACGCTCATCAGCCAACTCCAAATTGCCTGTACGCTCATCGGCTAGCTCCAAGTAGCCAACATGTTCACTGGTCACCTCCAACTTAACAAAATGTATGATGCGAATCGGTGAAGCGTACGAGTCAACGTAATACACGAAATGACAAAACAACCTAGCTAGGAGTTGTGTTTTTCCCAAAATGGACGAAATACCACGTGTGACTCGCACATACCATATGTGGCTCAGCTATTGGAAGTTATAGATCTCTTTTCCAGATTTCCAACACATCTTGAATCACCTCATTCCGAGATCGGACGAGAGAGTTAGAGCCAAAATACCCGAGGACGTACGAACTGGCTCGCACAGTGCCGAGCCACCAATTGAACAAAACACCATGTATGACTCGCACAGACCATGTGTGGCTCAGCTATTGGAAGTTGTATATCTCTTCTTCAGCTTTCCAACGCATATTGAATCACTTCATTCCGAGATCGGACGAGAGAGTTAGAGCCAAAATACCCGAGGACGTACGAACTGGCTCGCACAGTGCCGAGCCACCAATTGAACAAAACACCATGTGTGACTCGCACATACCATGTGTGGCTCGGCTATTGGAAGTTGTAGATCTATTCTCCAGCTGTCCAATGCATCTTGAATCACCTCATTCCGAGATCGGACGAGAGAGCTAGAGCCAAAATACCCGAGGACAAACGAGTTGGCTCGCACAGTGCTGAGCCACCATTTGGTGACTCGTACAAAGAACTGATATTCAACAGATTCTGAAGAAACTCAAAAGACAAAAGTTGTAGGTCTCTTCATCAGATTTCTAATGCATCTTGAATCACCTCATTCAGAGATCAGACGAGAGAGTTAGAATCAAAATATCCAAGATGATACGAACTGGCTCGGCCAAGGCCGGAACTGGCTCGGCCAAGGCCGAGCCACCAAGTGGTAGTTCGCGCCGGTTCACACCCGGTTTGGTTCGGTTCGCACCCGGTTCGGTTCGTTTGAACCCGGTTCGGCAGATTTTGTCCGAAAACGTGTTTTGACAGTTTTCGACGGGTTTTCACGAGATTTCTTCTATTCCAAAGGTTCCCAACTACCTTGATATCATCTCTACATATGGTTAGGTGGTTGTCAACTGAGGATTAGACCAAATCTATCGTTCTTATAAAAAAAAACCCCAACCGAAGCCTATAAATACAAGCCTAAGGGCTCATTTCACAGGAGGAAATCAAGAGGGCGAGGTGTTGTCAAAATTGAAAGTGAAGCCACGAATTTCATAGGGTTAGCAGATCTTGACGAAGTTTCTTCATAAAGAAAAAGAGAGTTCGAGAGATCTGAAACCTCTTTCCCCCATATTCCTCCGGATTTAAGCTTGGTCTTAAATCCCGAGAAGAGTCGTAATCTCGCTTGGTTCCGGATTTAAGCTTGGTCTTAAATCCCGAGAAGAGTCGTAATCTCGCTTGGTCGGGATTACCACTTCAGTGAATACTTCCTTCGTGAAGTTCTCGCTTGGTCGGGATTACCACTTCAGTGAATACTTCCTTCGTGAAGTAGGAGCTTTGATTTTTAATCTGTCAACCGGATCTGATCCGCGACGGTCCACGGATATCAACTTCTCTGATACAGGCAAAGATCTCATGCAAACAACAGGCGATAAACATCTGTTGTGTGTTGTTTGAAGGAATTGTAATCTTATATTTTTATTGTGTAAGAAGATCTTATAAAAATATCGACTTTTTATTTATTTGAGTTTATTGTAACGGCTAAAGTTGTAATAGATTCGATGACAATGAAAATAGCAATTCCTGACCCAAACAATATCTTAATCACTTATAGAATTAAAAATTTGTGACTTATCGGATGCTTTGTATTGGGTAGTTATATTGTTTTTAAAACTTAGTTTTTGAAATGATAAATGGTGACATATTGAATAAGTTTTATTGTTTAAAAATGAATTAACGAAAATGTACAACTTCAATTGACCAGGCAACCCCCCCCCCCCGGGGGGGGCAAAAAAAAAAAAAGGACTAACAGTTCAACTAGTATTACTTACATGGAAGGTCATCAATAAATAAAATCACAAGTATGAAGATCCAATAAGAAGATAAATAAAGTGACCAATGATCTAATTAATGATACATAGTCTTGTGATGTAGTCTTAATGCATATTTGGTGAACGAATTAAACTATTATCATTGACAAAAATAGGGATCACATGACAAAAAAAAATCAGTGCAATGTAGAATATCTTCACATTTGCTCAACTTTAATTGAGTGCTACTATGTCAAATTGGAGTTTGATTTCCCTCAGAAATGTCCACGTATGAGCAGACAGTTCTTAATCTTATGTTACGGTAAAGTGATTTACTTCACTAGTTCAGTCAGAAGTTAATTGTCTTCCCCAGAGTAAGGCTGAGAACCACGACCTATAAGTAAATAGCGTATATAGTAAGATTTTTTTCCTTTTAAAAATAAATTTGAACCTCTTGCTTTTCACAAAATCTAATTATATATAGACACCATTTCTTAATATCATACAATTTACATTCTGGAAAGAAGTGACTTTAATTGAACTAGTACTGAGGAGTAAATCGGATTTGAGTTTTGAACAAATCGGCGAAGCCCAAGAAGATTGGGCTAAAAGCATCAGTCCAGAGGAGGGCCTGGTTAGATCTTACGGCCTACTTTGCAAAGAAAAGGCAGTACGTACGAAGGGCACTATTGGCAACAACAAAACAATAAAAATAGAAAATAAAATGAAATAAAATGGAAAATAAAAGGGCACGATGACAGCTCGATTCTTCATGGCACGCGGAGGAGATACGTTTGCATTGTATTGTGGAACTAGACGAAGGAAGAGAATGAGGAAATGCTTCATTAATAAGCATGCTATATAAACGCTCTCATCTCTTCAGCGTGCGCACCAGGCGTTTGTGCTAATGCCCGAAATAAATTAATTGCAACCCCTGAGGGAAGCAGGGAGTCGGCATCATTACGGATTCACAATGCTTCTGGCAGGATTTACACAGTTCAGCAAGACATTCGAAGAAGCGCCGACCTGTTTGTGTTTTGTCCGACAACGCAAGCATGTAGGTTCGTACGTGTATAGTCACCCTGGTCTTCTTTCTATCATTGGATTTTGGTGCTTCTTCCACATTCCTTAATTATGCTCTTAATTTTGGGAGGTAACTTCAGATTCGCAAGCTCCATCATCTGCTTAGCTTAGCGTATGCTCTGCGGCTACCTCCTCATAAACTCGCATATACACACACAGACTTGGCACCCTCTCGCTTTTACCGGGTGCCCAAACTCAGGAACCCGTATCATTTTTCCCTTTTCCTGATTCTATGCGTGCTTTTTCTCGTTTTGGTTAGGAATTATGTTTGT